GATAATTTTCAACTAAGTCAATAAACAACGAGATCTTCAAGTAACGGAGTGCGAGAAAAATTGCACGAACAGCCAATGGAGTTTGTTCATTCGCCTCACCTGTTGTTAACATTGTTCTCATGACAATCTTCTAAACGGAATTTTAGCCAATGCTCCTATCCTACCAACATTCCCATAGTACCATTCACATCTGCGGTAGGTTGACTATAGTCAGCCGTATTTGGTCGTCTTTGTACTTTCACACCCACCATAACGTTCTCCCTCCCTCGGGGGAGAGACTGGTCAGTGCATCGATTTGATCTCACGAAACAATCAGTCGCATTTGGTGTGCATTGGAACATCAACCGGAAGAAGCTGGTCTGTTTCTAGCTGAAGTAGGAAGTAAGAAAAATGAAACCACTTCAAAGTAGAAATGCGAAAAAAGTATAAAATATCAACTGATTTTAGGCTGACCTCGGTAAAAATGAACAAAACGCTCGAAGCAGTTCTATATAAATGATTTGAATGCATCGAACCACGATTTAATTGTGCTGGTTACGCCATTTTTTAGTTTTATCGCGGTGAACCAGATTGAGATCCTTCTTTGACAGGTGATTGAGAAAGGAAGAATTATTTCTTCCTCGGTTGACTGATGCTCGTCTCACTGTGTTCGGTCAATCGGCTCCTTACTTGTCCGAGCAAACTTGCTGATATTCAGGATCACGTTGGGGTGTTTTTTGAAGTGGTGAAATGCTTCCTCTACAGAATTGCTTTTATGGCCAAAAAGGATTCTCTAACATGGGTCTTCCTGATTGAAACACCAGATCCTATCCTACTGATTGTATGCAAGGCAGTGCAGTTTGTGCAGTTTGAATTGAATTCAATGTGCTCACACGACCAGACTAAGTCATATCTTTTAAGCTGTACTCATCAGGTTTGAAGTGGTTCGATTATTTGATCTATTCCATTAATTCTCCATTTCTATGATTACCATTTCAAATCACTGCATTTTATCTGTTCTAAGGCGCAAATACGTGTGGTTTTTCGGTCAAAAAGTTCAAAATTCCACAGCTAGGAAAACCGCAAATTCTTTTTTAAAATAACTTTACGATTTGGTGATGCTGTTGCGATCGCCGGACTGCCCTTTCTCAAAACGAGCTGCCGCGCTTCGCGGGAAGGCTGAGTGATCCATTTTCGCCTTCTCCTGCTGTGTAATGCATACTGTGAACTCACCCAGCGACATATGTAGGGTTTTAATCTGTGTACCACAATTTGTGCAGAAAGACAAGTAATTTAGTAGAGTGGATAGTCTCACACCTTGGACACTAATTTGTTTTTGTTTTGTCGTTGGACAATCTGGTCACAATAGTTCAAATGCCTTTCCTCCCAAACCTGTTTGAATGCACCGAATTAATTATAGGCATGGTATGGAAGCATGCATTCGTTACTGACGAACTCGAGGTAAACTTGACATGGTTTCGTGTCCAATGTCAATGGGCGGAGCCACATGAAAGTTATTCATTCTTTTGCATGTGGGTACCCGTGAGTGTTCGGATGTGTGTACACATACGTGCAGATTTGCGCGAGGAAATTCCCGGTGGCGCCGACGAAGAGCACAAATAAGGGCAGATGTTATCAACACCTACCGCATACAGAAATCCGAATTGCCACTGCAGTTCATACGAGCTCTCTCTCACTCTCTCTGTCTCTCGTTTTCTTTCAATCATTAAAATAATTTGTCCACAAAGAGACTCGTCGCCAAAAGCATGTTGCATGTGGTACACAAACATTTCGATCAAAAAAATATACGGGATTTGTGACAGGGCGGAACCCACTTTTCTCTATCAAAATACAATTGATTCAGTCTACTGTCAACACTACCACCAGAAGCGCACAAACCTGGAATGATGGTGACACTTGCTTCTTTCTAACAAGACCAACATCGGACAAAAAGTGCGCAACTCCATAATAATCTTTACCCCGGTGCGTATCCACACTCTAAACAAATTTGTGATGGCCTGTACAGATCGACCCGTCAAATCTCATCGTAACCGATTCAAGTTCAAGTAACTTTCGATGCACACGGTAGGCCTCGCCCATTCTCCCTCCCCGACCGGGTCGTGTGAACCTCAAAACCAGGATTTGTAAAGTGGGACAAGACAGGATATTCATATAGGGGCTTAATTATGCCAAGATAGGATCAATCAACTTCCGTCCTCTGCGATAACCGAATGCTTACATAGGTTGGCACACTTCTTTTTCCTTCTCTCTCTTACTTGCTTATGTACACCGAGACTCATACAAACGTACAGTCAGATGGGCGGAAGGCGCGGTAACGGCGTCAGACATGGGCGCCGGAAGACAACCGGGAGTTACACACGCGTGGGCTGGCCTGCAAACCCACTTACATACACGGGCATTGTACTCATACACCTACTGATCCTCGTCCAACAGTCTTACCACCCCGCACAAGCAGTCTCTTGCCCTCTTGGTCGTATTAGGTATTTTCTTACCACCTACCACCTGTCTTTTGAGGGCGCCAAAATTGACACTTCATGCTTCAGGTCGACGCACTGAAATACATACACATACATGCATACACTTGTTGGAGAGCGGAACATAGAAGATTCAAGGTCCCACGTGGGTGGTTTTGCCTTTTATTTAAGTCCGGCCCATTGAGTGGATGTTCGGGGGATGGGATAAACCTTGCCGTAGTAATCTAAGACGCTCAAGAAGTTGGACCAGTAAGTATTGTCGCACGTGTGTGTGTATTAGCGCCCGTAAGAACATATCTAAAGAGACACCCACGTGCGTATATGTACACATACACACACATTCGTGCTTACTGGTGTAAGAAACAAAACGGAAAAAATCATTTTGACACACGTTGTACAACAATGTGTGACTTTTATCACCCCTCTAGGGGAAACTTGCTGACAGTAGTCCGATTGTCTGGTCTTCGCTACGTGGCGGCACCGGCGTCAGTACAGACGACGCCCGGGGTCTGACACTGGGCGGAGATAGAAACCCGAGAGAATGGTGTCGTTCGGTGTGTGTGTGTGCGTGTGTGTGTTCGCATGTTGCATGCATGTGTGTGGGAGAGAGCATTTCAAATCCTAAGAGAGATTCAGTGAGTAACGGTGGTATTTCAGTAGTCATATCAATTGTACTTTACCTGAGTTTCAACCTCACCCCCAATGCCCCACTGTTCACAACGTTCACCAAGTCGATCACGTTGACCGATTTGATTCGCGCTTGTGCGTGTACGAATTCCCGTGTTCGATACCCCCATCTGACTTATTTCATGAGTCCGTAATTTGAGTAAAACCGTCCGGATGAGACGATCAGCAATTACAAAGGCTAGCGTAAAAACTCCCGATTTGCAGGTTGAATTGAACTGCCGATGAGTAGAAATCAAATGGGTTTAAATCAGTGAGAAATTCAATCCATACCATTCATACACTATCTGTAAAGAGTGGTATTAAATTTATATATATATATATATATATATATATATACCAGTGACATTGAGAACTGATAAATAAATTTCAATATTACTCGATGAGGATAATTCGGTCGATCAACTGGAGGCTCATTGCCAGAGACTCACCTGTTGCTTTCCTGTAAAGCAAAATTTGTCAGTCATGAATTGCATCAGGGGATTTGGCAACTCATTACACGTCTGATTTAATTCAGGAATGAATAACATTAATCCTCAGTAATATAGAAAATCATACTTCCACTTAAGAATAAAGGGTAACAGTGTTTTAGGTGGATCCTTGGTAAGATAAAAATGCGAAAACACTTGCACTTTATAAGGGACCTAGGTATAATAGTGAAAAGCGAGGTTCGGACTGTAGAAGTCAGTTTGTGAGTTTTGGCCATGAGTGAGGAAGAGTGAAAAAATGTTTTATTGCATTGTCCGTAAATTAACGACTCGGAATTGAGTTGTAAATCCCATTGAGGCACATTTAGATCCAGTCATAGAAACAGACTTACCCGTTCGTGAGTGCTAATTTATTGTTAATTTATCAGATTCTAAAGTATTGACAGACCAGTTCTGATTTCATAGGGTCGGCAACAGTTCGATCCAATTGGTGATCGGTCAATTTGATTAGTTTGGTCAAATCTTCCTGTAACCGGATGTGTTTTAACTACCTGATGCGGATAATTATAATTCATGGTTTTAACGGTCGATATTACACTAAAACTAACGGTGGAGAGTATCAGTAACAGGATCTGAACCATGATCATTAATATGATTTAATTTTAGTTATAAATATCCTGGTTTTATCCCATGCAACTTCACGGATGTCTGAGTGTATACAGTGATTTTATTGTAGTGGGTCTTACACCGTCGATCATGTGGCTTAGAGGTCATCAGGCTTTTGGCTCCCAACCTGGAAGTTCACGACTTGGGTCCCGGCATTGTTGATGAGCACAAACAAGGAAGAAAAAGCTGTCCAGTGCTCCTTTCCCGTTGCTGCACAAAGCATTTATCGCCAGTGGAAGGTGTCCCTTTCTTTTATCACATCACAACCAGTTTTTTTGCCTAGGAAAGTAACATTAATTGACCTCTCGACTCCGGCTTTATGGACGAAAGGCAGCAAATTATTGCCATCCCCTAGGAAAATCCTATAAACTTAATTTTGGGGGAGATATTTTCGGAGTTACATGACTAGTTTGTACGCTCTCAATTTAAATTGTTGATAGTGCTAGTTTTCTTGCTACACCGAAATCAAATCGAAGGAACGTAACACAATAGGGTTGAATAGATAATAACAAATGGAAGATAGCGATCCAACAGGATCATTTCTCGCAATACTCTATATTTGCTTAACAGGGTGTTGATTGCTTTTAGGGTTGCATATTATCGAATAACTCGTAAGTTTCACTTCTGTCTGTCTGTCTGTCTGTCTACATGGTGGGTCGTGGACGTTGTACATAAAAGCAGCACACCTGTCTGCTAAATAGTGAACGGTGTATTAACCCCCACAAATTATTGAAATTTTTGAGCATTAATGTTGAAATCTATACTCTTAGCTGAAGGAACCACTAAGATAGTGCAAAATAAGACTGTTTACTGTAATTCTATTCCTCATGTTGGGTTACATTTGGGACTTACGATAATTTGGGCCACAGGTATGAATCCGGTTGATATGCACACTCGAAACCATGAGATCAGAATGGAATGAGACACATTCGTTCTATGATTTACTCCCCACATGTTTCAAACTGTTTGATTTAATGTGCTATTCAGATAACGAGAGGAATGTTGTGGACAGCATTATCACGGTGCGAAAACACACTATTCTGGTGGCTGCGTTATTTGCTTTTCGCTCCTTTACTCCAGTTGAAATGACTTTTTGTATGTGATAGGGCAGGTTTCGCCCACTGGCCTAAATGGATAATCTGTTTTGATCAGTTGGATTACACACAGGAAAATCTAATAACTTACTGAGTGGGAACACGATTTCTTCAATAATTTGTTGCCGCTGTTGACAGCCACACCTCTTCGACGCACACAGGGGATTCCTTTGGGTGGGGGGTGGGGGTGCAGGGCCAAGTCCCGTAACGCATTGATGATGCGGTTTGTTTGCGCTAACTGTGCCATCTACAGATGTTATTTGTGTTCACCAGTTCTGTCTTAGTGAGACCAGAAATTTTTATCGTATTTTCCTCAATGGCACTGGGACCTAGGGTGAACTACAACGTCTCTGCACTGAGATCTATCATTTCAAGTTATACTGAGGATTGTAGAAACATCCAGAGTCGAAAACAGATCAGACTAATTGAGAATACAAGGCTGCTATGCGATTAGTGAAATCCGTGTTCGCAATCTATTCACTTACAGTTAGTCGACTGCCAGGTATCTTTTATTTGTACCTTTTTTTGTATTTCATCAGTTCTTAATTGTGAATGCAAATAATATTATTGTTTAATCGACTCTAACCAGCATGTTTCTTTTTTAAATTTCCCTCATACACACGCTCATGCGCGTATGCACCCAAAATGAACGTCCACAATCAGACGCATGTTCCCCTCATTCAAAGTTCGTGTGACGGGTTTAGATCCGAATGCCAAATACATTATGTTATTGGACTTGGTAGCCAAGGACGAACATCGCTATAAATTTCACAATGGCAAGTGGACCGTTGCGGGCAAAGCAGATCCTGAACCGTTACGCAAACCATACATGCATCCGGATTCTCCAGCCACGGGGGAAGAATGGATGCATAAACCAATATCATTTCACAAACTCAAGCTCACAAACAATGTGACCGATCGACAGCCCTTTGTAAGTTATTCATTTAGACTATGATTCCCTCTGTTGTTTTTATTCCCCACATGTCCTCCTTCGTCTCCTACCCATCATCTTATTCACGACGGCTCACGGCGGTTTTCAATTGTATCATATTCACACTCTGCGCTCGCTCGCTCGCTCGGTCGGTCGGTCGGTCGTTCGCTCCCTCGCTAGCTCGCACGTTGTGTGCGTGCTTGTGTGCTTGCTCGCCTACTCCTGTTCATGCTATAATCGCACCGATATTCTCACACTCCACTGTTTACAAATATCAATTTGTAAACTGTCTTAATTTTTACTTTGGCAGGCCACACACAAACGAGTAAGTACTCAGGGGATATAGCTTCCGGGAAAGTAGTTGGATGGCATGGTGAATGACATGACAGGATTGAATTAAGTTGGTGCCATGGCTTATCACAGAATCTGTTAGGCACGGGAGCATATGCACGTACATGAACGTTCACACCACACAGGCTCATCAGTTTATCACCAAAGTCCCACAAGTCACATCCGATTTCACTAGCATCAGGGACATAAGGTTGTGTGTGGAGGGAGAGGAGCTGTTGACGAATTTAGCCTATTGCTATACCAAGTACACACAAGAATTTGTGTGCATACAGTTATGCGAAAGGGGAGGGTGTGTCATGTAAGTATGCACGATGTGTATGTGCGTGTGTGTGTGTGTGTGCATTTCGGTGGCCGTGTCTCCTCCTTTCGACATCACCACCACCACCACCACCACCACCACCACCAGCAGCAGCAGCAGCAGTAGCAGTAGCAGCACATTCACTCACTGTGACATCTATCATACTGCTTTAGATCGAATAGCTACAATTAGATGGACAGAGGCCAGACATGCGTTTGCGTGTGAATCAAGGTGAGATGTTCTGAAACCGACCGTGCACTTGTTTGTCACGACACCAGTGTGAACGGAGTGTTAGACACGTAAACACCATAATACAATGTGCAGATAGTCACCATGAGATGATCATTGGATCTGAGATTGTGAGATGTTCCAGAGAAAACCGGTGTCCGGTTGTCAACATTGTGTGCAATACCCTTATGTGTGATACTTTTTCTCACAGCCCCAAGCGAGACAGATAGAACTCATGATGATACAATGAGTACAGATAACTTCTTACTCGTGAACTATTTTGTCTATCAACCCGGCTCATTCATGAGCTTGGTTCTCTTTCTTTTCCGGTCAATCTTGACAGTCCTGGTGATGGTCAAGCGTAGTTTCTGTGTTCGAACCCCTTAGTTGTTCCATTCCTGCGTATCCCGCTAAAGGCCATTTGAGTGATTGCTTTCCCCTTCTCGAAAAGTGCTTCTATAACTGTTAATTCGATGGAAAGCAGTAAACAAGTATTATTAATAGTTCACTATGTATTTCTGAAATTTATCTTTGTCAAATTTTATTTTGGATAACATTTAATCTAGTTTCTCCTCTGATTTACAGCAAGCGGTGTTGAACTCTATGCACAAATACATTCCCCGATTTCACATCGTACGTGCGGATCACACAGCAAAATTGAATCAATGCGATTTTACCACACTCGTGTTTGACGAAACCGAGTTTATCGCGGTCACGGCGTATCAGAATGAACGAGTAAGTGCCCCTTTGGTGTACCGACATACAGACACACACACATACACTGGGCTAACAGCGGAGAAAGGCTGTTGTGAGAAATTTAGCACATACAGCCTTACTGCAACATGAATACGCGCTCAATGTGGGTACCTAAGATTACGCTGTTGCAATCGATTAGATAAATGTCACTTACTTCCTGATTTAACTAATGACGGGATGATTTACTGTCAATCCCTTAACGAAATTGTCGGTTTTATGTTGATCACAAAATTGATGGTAGAATTGCTTCCACAAATATATAGTCTTAACAATGGCTGAAGGAACGTCTACGTAAATTCCTGTATCAAATGAGCATCCTGCATCTTTCTCGTGGATAGCTGAAGATCTGATTCACCGAAAATTTCACAAGATGCTAACTGTGTTAAGGAAGTATCAGTGGACCTAAGAGAAGAGTAACGATACTCTCATCAGACAATCGTGACATCACAGCGTTTGATCAGGTATAAGAGTCGATTTCGCCGAGTTAAAAGGACCTAAATAAGAAATAACCAATTCACGGAAATAGTCCATCTGTGCGGAGTAAATCACCGTCAGTTTATCTTGTATTTAATTGCCCCCATGTCATACCTAAGGAAAGGTTGTTCAGTTTTATCTCATCAAAAGATATTTTAAGTTTCGGAAGATCCCGGGGCAATCACGGATTACTCACGCTCTATGGTACGGAGTAACTAGTCACTGGACAGCCTCCGCGTCACACCCCAATGACATGTAACTAGGTTTCGATAACAATATGCGGAGTGAATCGACTGATTTTGTTTCTTCCTGCTAGTTGCGCTTACAGCCTATACCGTACCTATACTGTTCAAGTTTTGACAAACCGTAGAGAGAGGTCGTTGGGCGGTGGTGGCCAAGTGGTTAGGTCACCAAATTGTGACTTGTGAGTCTCGAGTTCGAACCGCTCCATCGCCGCCCGTCTTCTCAGACAGCCTTTCTATCACCGTGGCCCCCTTTCTGAATGTTGACTGTGCATTTGTATATTCGATAAATAAAAAAGGAAGTAAAAAGACATTTATTTATATTTATAACACAGTTCTTAAAAATATGAGCAACAATCATGTTTGAAATAAATTCAACTCCTCCGTGTCTGAAACTTACTCGAGCTTTAGGTGTTGTGGGTAAAGTCTAACGGGAAGAGTAAAAGCATCATACTGGATCTGATATCGTTCAGAAACCCACGATTTCGGTCGTAATAGTTAAACATTATTCTCACATTACTCTGCGTATGCGTGCATGTGATCTTCTCGGAACGATGGTGAAACTTTGATGCATAATTTTTCTATCCTGCGTCCTCGCGCTATGTTGAGCGAGTCGAGTGAGCTAGACAGTGAAAACTGTCGTTTTGTGCTGGTGAAAAGTTCGTTTGTTACGGTGACCTTCCATTCACGCATACACACTTCATCGCCCACTCGCTCACTGCACCCATGAATTTTTGCTGCAGCCCAATCATGTAATTCGACCGATTATTGTTATCATTGTCTCTCTCTCTGTCACATATAAGTTTATCCAGGAATCCGCTTCCGATTTGCCTATTTGTTTGTATTCTGTTTTGATGTGTGATAACCGAGAATTTTTCTTTTTACTTTATTGAACTCGAAAATCGGCTTTGATCGTGAGAGTGTGTTGAGTAGGTGATTCCAAAAAATCAAAACGGTCAATCAGCGTGATCTAATTGAAAGTGGAATTACAACTTTGGACACTTTAAATTAATCTGTTCGACAGAGAAAAGTTGCATTATTAGTGAGAGGAATTCACTACTTGCTCGAATACCGATGTCTTTGTTCTCTCCTCTACCCGGTTGATTCTGTTGAGCAGTATGGTTAGGCAGCAGGATCGTTACCCCGTCCGTACAGTCAGCCCGGTCAGTGGAATGCCAAACCAAAAATTAAACATTCCAAAATGATTCTTAATTCTGCTTTTAAACAGTTGCTCTAATCTAATCAGATCTGTTCAGGTTTGGTGCCACAAAAGAATCAGAAATGCCAGTGATGAGACGTGTGTCATTTAAACAAGAAGGTACACGAGCAACTGGTCTAAGGTCAGTGTTCAATTTCAGATCACGTGAGAGGTTATTTCAGGTGTCAATTTGTTTTCAACAGCAACCGTGCGTAAGTCTAATGCTTGGTCTTCTTTACCTACACGTCTTTCTAACCAAACGAAAATAGGGAGCTAGCAATTCCGGTATTCCACAAACATAGATATTCTGCTTTTCGTTTTAAACATGAGTCATATCTCACTCAAGCTGGGAACAATTTTAGAAACAAACGTCGTTTTTCTGCAATTTAATCGGATTTATTCTCAGGACTGGTGCTACTAAGTATTCTCACCAACTAACCAGTTGCTCAATGATTAGTTGGACACGTATAACTCAGGGTGCCAATTCAACGGTTATACATCAACTCCCACTCGTTCGGTAGTCCTCCTGGTTCTGTTGGTATGTGAAGAAATAAGCGTTTTATATTTAGTTATCGAAACAGTGCAGTACCAATCACATTATTCCGATTTCCCAGCAGGGTCCAATGACGAAGACAATACCTCCGGAAAAACATTTCATTGATGTGTGAAAGGCTGATCAAACTGGGTTTACAAAATTAAATCACTGAGCTAAACTGATGTCAACTTTTGATCATCGGTCCTTTCATTGTGCCCTGTTCTCGCTACATTTACGCACACCCGTAGTGATTTTTCACTAATCTAATGAACTATTCTTCTCAATGATCCAACTACAAATGCACAAATGCGTTGAGATACTGTCCGGATGGGACGATAGAGGACGACTGATGGTTTATTGTAGAGAATCACATTGTAGTACTAGTTCGAAGTAACAACGCACTTTATTTAATAATTGGAATATTCAACACCACGTTGAGAGGTGGTCATCCATTTCGTAAGGCATACAGTCAGGGAGTTTTGAATCAAAATGAAAGTGTATTTTTGGAGGTAGTGATCATATATATATATATATATCACCCGTCTGAGGCTAGACTGTGTGCCCAACAAACCATAGTACAACAGTCTTTATAAAAAGAAAAACGTTGCACGATTTGCATGTGGGCCGGATAACGCCAGGTCTCCCAGGCCAAGGCAGGTGAATTATCTTGAGGAATCCACAACTGGAAAATTTGGCTAGCCTGACCCGTAAGACAGCGGGGAGGTGTGAAAACAGCAGTCCATCGGGAGTTCATCGAATTGTTCACCCTTCAGACGGGTCAGACGTCCAAGGTGCTCAATTCACCTCGATACCCAATTGAACCGGTGGCCATTGGCACAACCGGAAAGGTGTGGGTGTGGTTCGCACGCAACCTCTTGGTGGTGATTGGGTAGGTAGTTCAATCTATAGAGAAACAGAATGCTATAGAATTAGTCCTGTTCAACTTATGAGATGCGGTATGTGCCAGCAGTGATTGTTTTGGGCCGTGTTCTTCGAGTCACACGAATCCGGGACAATCACTACTATGCGGTTATACAGTTCCAGAATGTGGAATTGAGTCGGATACAACTGCAATACAGAGTAATGCTGTTATATAATACTATTTTTTGGCTATCTTTCGACGGATATCGTCTGGACCACGATGATAGTATAGATCACGTCAGGTTTTGACACTGGTTTCTCCACTGCAAATTTAGTTTCCACTGAAACGGGAACAGCCAGTGCACATGACATTATGAAAACCGCCTCGATTAGTTGAACATTGCTGAAAATATGTTACCTTTCGTGATAAAACCCTTATTTAACGTCATTCCCATGGTCATTACAAAGCGTCCTACGCTCATCTCTTTGTTACCATCAGATCACCCAGCTCAAAATCGATAATAATCCATTTGCCAAAGGATTTCGGGACAACGGAACGGGACGTCGGGAGAAAAAGTGAGTTGTTGTCCACTCCTCACCGGTCACTTTTTCTTTATTATCCCTTGGTGATCGTCCTGGTATCCGGGATAGTGTTTAAGAACGTGTCAGTTTTTATGGCTGATGACTGCGGCCCCTAGCTTCAATGTGCATTGTAAATACTCCTGCACACGCAGACACCGGCCGTCGGAAGTGATTGAGTCCGGGCGATATCTGCCCAGTCTGGAGGCTCTGTTTCCGACATGGGACCTCGGAGATGGGTTATTTGTTGTAGCATCCCCTGGGGCCACCTGTCAGCAGTTGCAATCGCCGAGTATTTTGAGCTATGGTGTGTGTGCGTGTGTGTGTGTGTGTGTGTGTGTGTGTGACAAAGAGAGAGCTGACCTAAGTGATGGTGGCCACCCAGGTTGCACAAACACATTTAAACTGGCTGCATATCTACCTTTCTATCCAACCAGAATGTCACACAGGTAAGGGAGGAGGGGGACGGTTGCAAGGTTTTCGATTGACACAGGGTGTGGTTCACAAACTACCAGCGGACAAGACAAAAGCGGTTGATTAGTTAGCTAGCTGTCATCAAACCTGATGATGTTTTGTACACTCATTTCGGAGCCCATAGCTGTCATACAGATGTATATAATCAACTGATAAACCGTTTGCCTAGACTTGTTCATTCAGTAATGTTTGTCAGGGACGAGAAACTGAGTACTTCGGACTTGTTCACAGTCTCAAGTGAGATAGTGTGACAGTATTCTGTGATAGGTCTTTCGGAATGGAAGATTTCATCTTCATATCGACTAATGGATGAATGATTGAATCAATGACCAAGCCGAAACTACCAAAGAATTGTTATTCTCTTCCGGGGTTGTCGAAAAATCCTCTCTTCCACTTTTATTTGGCGAAAATGAGCATGGCTATGCAGTATGTGAATGTCGTGGCTTTGTTTTGACCCAACAGTAAATGTAACCAGTTTCGTCAACCCAATATTTACGTAGTGTAAATAATGAGTAACGTGTGAATGAGTAAACGAAGTTAATTACCAATCGGTTATGCGTATAGTATCTGTTTACTGTTATATCTGTACCATCGAAAGTGAGTTGAACCACTGAGCGCGTTTTTTTCTGTGCATAAGAGAAATATTTTTTGAGTCATTCATGTACAAGTCAATAGCATGATTTCATGGTCATAAAGTAAGATGGAGACCGGGTTAGGGATGGGACAGTTTGTGCATCACTATGACTGACTCCAACAAACGCACGAGCATATCAGTTTGTGATAAGCTTCACATTACCATTAGGCAACCTTATTTGGCCTTTTGCAACAATCATTCAGGACTTTCTGCATGAATAGTTCAAGTTTGAGGGAGGTAGTAGGGTAGTACAATTTACCATTGGACTTCTTTCGAACATAAGTTGTTCCGGTCACCAGTTTGTGAATAGATGACTGTGAAAAGACAGAGGTTAACTAAAGAGACCTTTATCGAAGCCGCATGATATCCGATTAGTTTGCAGACCCTGTATTGTGATTATGGATTTTAAAAATATAGACTATTGCCCCCTAACTTATTTCCACCTTGATTTGCATTTTGACCAAAGTGATGTACAATTCATTCTTCACCTCTACAACCCTCCCCGCAGACGACAACGTGCACATTATGGCAAATACACCGGTTGTCTCGGTTCACCGGAGGACGGGGATGAAACCGGTTCGGGATTCCGATCGCTGCATGCCCTCACCTTGTCCAACGCATTCAACGGCTTGTGTTCACCGACCAATCCATCCAGTGGTCCCCTAGCTTGGAGCAACGCACCGTCTAGTGAACAGTTTCGAGAAGCACTTAAACATTTACAACCGTTCGGGAATCGTTTAGGACTGGGCGAATTCCTCTCATCCAGTATGGGTCCTGGTTTGAGTCGAGACGCTATTCAGTCCAAACCGCACTACAGTCCAGCTGAGTTTTTTGGTCTCGATGCAAAACTCGCGGCTATCAGTAAGTTGACTGTGCATGTTTGCAACGGAAAAATCAGTACTTATAAGGGAGAAAAGTTAACTCACTCCGTGAACATGTGATACGATGGAAGTTTCGCGGAGTGTCGAACATAATTGTTTGAATATGCCACAGATAGGTGGTATTGATTCCTTAGTTATACTTCTAACGATGATACAAGAAATCAGCAACCAAATTTACTCTCGCTCCCACCTTTTTTCTGAGAAGAAAGGCTGATTGGTGCAGCTGGAAATTTCGAATGTTCACTTAGATTGTCTAGATTCTTAATGAATTCTCTGCTTTTTTGTAGAAGAGATTACTATTTTGGGTCAGCTCAAAGCGTCCAGTATAAATTTCCGTATGTAACAGATCTATCATGTTTTTAGGATCATTAAAACATTACTGGTCTGAGGTGTTCATAAACCATAGATCTTCAATTATCAAAACCAGTTCGCGCGTGCCGAGTCTGCCAAATGGTGTCAGCCAGAGCGCTTGTATCCTAAGTGGCGAATTCCTGCACTGTTTAAGTTTGAGCTGTTATTCATTTCGTAAAGCTGTAAACCCGAGTCTTAATTAATACGAGGCCTCGTTTCAGGACCAATAGCATGGTTCGTTTTTAAAATGAGATTTGGCTGTGATCAAATAGACGTGGGTGGTCAAACAATCGTTCGATGGATCATACATCTGTATCGATCGGTTCTAATTTATGGCTCACAACCTCTAGATGTAAATAGCAAGCGACTTATTGGAAGTTCTCATACACCTTGAATCAATTTTAATTCAGTACTACGACTAAGATCACTTATTTAGTGCCGAAATTGAACTATGAAGAGCGATAGAACCACATATATATCATTGTCGGGGTCGTACAAGTAGTAGTCATTAAATCCACCGGTGAAGGACAGGAACGTAAAACCGATTGGTAAAATTTCTTTAGGGTGGAATTGGGAACTTTATGAGTGAGTATCATTGTGGTTCTGCCGTCTTTCAAAGTATTTCAAAATCCAAGCTGATGATGTATCTGAAACATCGTTTTTGAGAACATTATGAATGCACTTTATTCTCCCTCAGTCTGCAAACTGACAAATACTGCGCACGAATTCGTTCATCCCCTGCATGCAAGGTGAATGTAAGCCTATACGGTTTTACATTTTATTAGTATATGATTACTTTCATTCAAGTTGTTTTTCCTTTGGATTGTACACCACGTTGTCTCGAGTCATAGAGCCGAAACAATAATATATTAATTGAACTGGTTTATCCTAGAGTCTGACTAGGGTTGGCATGGTATTGAGCCTTTCACCGAAGTTAGGTAGTGGTGGTGATAGTGGTGAGAACGACGGTAGGTTTCAAAGTCCCAAACTTGAAGCCCAGTCCCCTCCACGGACGTCGAGACTTAAGTCGTTCGAACAACGTCACCAGAAGCAATCCTATTGTCATACGGTTATGCTCTTATTGACTGCGCAACACGCGTAAACTTTCTTCTTCTACGATGATGGGGGAGACGAATTTGGGGAGTATCAACAGCGGTCACACATCATGTTCGTTTAAAAATTTTGCAAAGCGTTATGTCAGACGCAGTTTTAATTAATAAACCCACGAGAATCTGAAATGAGGTGGATAATTCAATGCAATAAACCCATTTATAACTATCGAAGTCGATTAGATGATCGCTCCTATTTTACTAACTATTCGGTTATTTATTTTAATGCGAGTAACCTCGGTCTGCTTCCTTCAATTTGTGACCAACTTTAAATTAGGCTTGTTACAAGCCAATAAATCAAACCTCAGTCGCCCAAAATAAATAGTAAGGCGTTAAATAGAATTCACAAGGAATAATAATCAGATTCCTTTTTACTTTTGAGCGCCAAGTTGATAAAGCCTGCAACCATAATGCATGATCAAAAGAATAATATTATTATTATTAAAACAAAATCCACCTTATTAAAACATGGCTGGTTTATAAGCGTATACTCGTCTGATAGAGTTAACGAGTCACTCACCACTGAAAAGCAGTGGAAGCACCACATAACTGTTTTCATCTCTGTTAGAAATAATTTGCAGTGCAAATCCACAACGCTTGGATTAACAACGTCTTGTGTCTTGGTTTGAATCCCTGCAGTTCCAAAATAAATGCCCCGTTGACGGTGACTAACTAGGATAAAACAACTTTTCGTTCTTAAGCAGTGTATTGACTCCGCTTTATGAATGCAATTTGAAAATTTCTTCGCAGTCGACGATGATTCTTGACTGTCTTATCATGTTCATGTTTCTGTTTAGATGCAAACAATGTACAGGCAAATCAACGATTTCAACATACTGTGCATCACTGTCCGACAAGTGGAATATCTATTTCAAATTTGCATTCTTGGACCGGACTCGCATCTCGCACCGGCATAGACCGCAATTCTTCCACCCGTCCAGCAGCAGATGTACCACCACTATCACCACCCCCATCGCATTTGTCCGAGATTCCCGCTAGTCGATGTCCTAGAAGTCCAACCATGATTCAACCCGGTGGGCTATCTCGATCAACTGGAGATGCCTCAATTCCAGATAATCCTCGAACACTGTTAGCCCCACCTTTCCCTCCAGAGGTTGCAGCTTCCACATNGTGCGTGGAGAGCATTCAAACCACAACAGTTTAGCAACGGAACTTCACTCTGGCAGCCCTCTTGGACCGAGTAACACGGCGAAGTCACTGATGGATTACAAAGTAAGTGAACTACATTCACTGACCAATTACTTGCATACTCATTTGAATCAAATTGATTTTGAAGTCGCTTACTTTAGCTGAGAAAAAATTAGTCTAAGTAGACTGAAAGGCTGTGTAGTGTGCTCGATGAATTTGAAATGAAAATAGCTTTTTAACTTTTATTACTACAAACTTCATACGGTTTAGCTGTATTTGCAAACCAAAATGTAAAATCATCGACCCCCAGAAATGACAAAACAAGTGAAAAAAATTAAAATATATCATGGAAAGGGGACCCTAATGCTCCAAGTCCGTGTAGGTCTGCTGATACGGGGAATAA